TACTAAAATCGCATTCTTATTTAAACCTTTTTCGGTCATATTGTATTGTTTTTGCATTTTTATTATTTATTTTTGTTGATGTGTTGTCAGCAACCCGCGATCAACACTTTGAGAGAAATTCGAGAATTTATGGAAACAAACCCAACAGAGATCATCACAATTTTCATCGAGGATTATGTGAGGTCTCCTCAAGGCCTAACGACACTGTTCAATGTATCCGGCCTCAGCCGCTACATGTTCCCGATTTCTCGTATGCCGAGAAACGGAGAAGACTGGCCCACGGTGGATGATATGATCTCATTGAATCAACGACTCGTGGTGTTTACATCCAATGAGGCCTCAGAAGGGGTCGCATACGAGTGGAACTACGTAGTGGAAAATCAGTGTGAGTGATAATAGACTTAGACTATGTTTGGTAACTAAATAAGCTAGCTTATAAGCTTACTGTATTTAAATAAGTTTTGTTTGCTATGACGAGTTTTTTTAAAAAGCCCTATCTTATCTCATAAGCTTCTTGGAGTAGCTTTTCAAAAAATATAGTTGAAGCAGCTAATTTTACCGAACATTTTTATCATATAAGCTAGTTTTTCATCTGTAAGTCATAAACTCGAAAAATACTTTAAGTTATAAAACTAGTTTATCAGGTAGTTTTACCTAATCACCATCCAATCTTAGCTTTAGATTAAAAATACATATGCTTGATTGCTTTGACACTTCTAAGGTAACATTGATTAATTTGCAGATGGGAATGATGGAATGATCAGGGGAATCTGCCGGAATCGAGCCGAATCATCTTCAATGAATACAAGGACGAGACCTTTAGTGCTTATGAACTATTTTCTGACAAACCCGAATATATCGGAAGCTTGTGCCGACAACTCAGCCGACTTAGTTGCTATGCTGGATACTTGTTACGCGTCTAGTGGCAGGCGGTGGCCAAATTTCATTGCCGTCGATTTTTATCAGGTATGCACATGAGACTCCACTAATTAATTCCCTCTGCACGGTTTGTTCGATACTCATGTACTTTCATATACCATTTAGTAGGGTTTGTAATTAGTTAGTTTTAGTAATAATCATTATATGATAGAATGACTAAAAAAATATTATTACACTTTAATCTAAAATGCAATGGTTTGTTATCATAGTTACCAAAAAAAATGGCCAGTAAATCATGAAAATATGCATTAATTGGATAACACCGCTTCCACCCTATATTTCTCCTCATGCGCCGACCCCTCCGCTCAAATCTGAAAGCAGATGAAAGTCGTCTCCTCCGACGACGCCAACCGGCGCACCTTCCACACACACGGCAACACCGTCGCCTTTGGTTTCCAGCTCGCGGCCACCTCCACCGTTAGTGAATCCATCGGGCAACACGAGGGCCCTGCCGTGAATTTGGTCATGAAGGACCTCTTAGGCCCCTCTCCAACCACCACTGAAGATTTCGCCGAGCATATCGCCTCGATTTCTCCGACGACGACGGCAAAAGGATATCGATAATTTGGGACACAAACACACTGCAC